GATGATGATGATGATGATGTTGCTGACGCTGATGATGATGTCGATGATGGTGATGGGTGGTGGTGATGATGATGGGGTGAGGAAGAAGACTGGTGCGAATGAAGGCGATGAGGAGGCAGCAGTTTGTCAAAGCTTGCTGCGCTTGTCCTTCCAAACCTTGCTTCGTTGACCGGAACCACTTCCACTTTGAAGCCCGCATCGGTGGAGTCTATCTTAAGGCTCCAACATGGTCTTAGAGCTACCTTGGCCTATTGCCTTACCTTCATATTCATTTGATTCTTGTACGATCAGAAACCATACTAGTTTCGAGCAGCCATGGTAACTCCCACAGTTTACATGCGACAAGCAATGGAATCCAAACGATCGCTAAGATGTGCAACTTGCACAGCACTGTGCTAGTGTCAGCCAGTAGCTACAGCAATGACACCAGCCAAGTAAGCCAGAACAGTCACACGTGGTCAAAGCAGTGAGTGTAGCGCAGCAATCGCCAACCAAAACACCTCGTCGGCTCGCTCGCATACCACGGAAAGGAAGTCCTTGCTGACCTGAAAAGCAGCCGCATCGCCAGCGCTGCTGAGAAAGGCTCAAGGCGCGTCGTGCAGAGAAGTGTTCTGCTTTAGGGGGATGGGATTTAGTGGCCGCGGATTGAGAGTTGAGGGCACAACTCCGGATTTCAACATGGCTGGCTCAAAGCGCAAAGTGTGGGCCGGTCTGAGCTTCCGGCATTGGAGAAAGCACGGCTCTTGTGCAGGTGCTCCTTGCACGCCGGCACTAACGACCCACTTGCCGTCCACATGTGTCACTCCTGTAGATCCAGTGCGCTCTTGCTGGGCTCGCTCTGTTCGGGATTCGCGGAAGACATGTGGCTGTACCTCTGCCATCCATGAGACGGAACTGCTGAAAGCATATCTGGGCATTCCAGGTTGGACAACACCCCAGCAGAGGGCACAGCTCCACATGCGAAGGGAATTCCTCCAGCACCTGCAGCTTTTTCGTGGAAAGAGCCCCGAGTTTGCACTGCGCTGCCAGGCCTGCCGGAAGACCGCTCGAGTAAGAGCGAGCGCGATGCAGCGCGTCACGGCGCGGATCCGGTTGGGGTACGTGCCTGATCAGCGGAGCCCATATAGGCTCGAATACATGAGCTTTGAGCTGTTGCCGCCGCAAAGCATAGAGCACTACTCTTACGGAATATGCTGGCAAAGCAGCGCGCCACGCCCAGTAGCACAGATTCCTCAGTGGCCAGAGGCAAGGTCGACGAATTGAAGCCAAGCGCCGCCTTCACATGGCCTTGATCTCAAACTCTAGCCTGCTTCGCCCCTTCTCATGATGCAAAGTGACGGAGCCTTGCATCCTTCTTGCGCCAGGGCTCTCCGATGACACTGCCAGATTTCAGCCTCGGGACAGTCTGGGACGGCAAGGCCAGTTTGCAAGAAAGATCTTTATAACCTTGCTAGAAGAAGAAGGACCACAACCGTAAGAGATTCTTTGGTGGCCACTCGGATCACCATCATCATAATAATCATTATTCGTCGACGTTGTCGTCGTCGTCATCGTCACTGTCTTCATCGTCGCCGTGTCGCTGTCCTCTATATGGATAGACGCTCCGTCGTTGCAACATGTTACAAAGGTCGTCTTCGGCGTCACTGGCATCAGGCATACTAAACTTATGATATTCGGCATTTTTATATGAAAAACCATGCATACGAGCTAAGCAGACCTTTACGTGTGTGATGCCGCAGAACGGCATGACTGGGCGAAATGCAGCGTGCTCGACTGCAGACGTATTGGAATTCAATGCCAGAAGCTCCTACGTGCTGCATTGCAAGTGACGCGCACATCGTTAGACTCTCCGAGGACCCGGCCGAAGCGCCCGACCGCGGCAGGTGCCATCGCCCTCGTTCTCAGCCTCGCCCTCCACGAGCACGAACCTCAGAAGAAACGAAGAAGGTGTGCGGTGTGCAGGTAAGGTATTCAGTTGGGTGTTGGAAAGGGGTCGGAGTTTGCTGGCGTCTCGGTCGTTGAGGCTATGCAAAGAGCTTCGGCTTGGCCCAGCCCGAGCAAGAGGGAAACAGTCAGAACTGCCCGAAGAAAAAGCAGCTCCAGTGAACACTCGCAGTCTCTGAGCGGCTCAAGTCTCTCCGAGATGCATGGTTTCCCCTTCTTGTCCCACGTCCTTAGTACTCAAACGGCCCAAGTCCGGCGCCTCGCGTCCCAACTTCAACTTCTCACTTCTCGGTCAGCCTATCTTTGGCTTCTTTTCGTTATCCTTCAAACCTTTCCCTGCCGAGGCCGCCACTGTGAGCATCATCCCCGGCTCGTAGATCCGCGCGTCAATCCGCTTCCGAAGCTGGTCCGCGAACTCGTCTGCGGCGACCTCTAACGAAGCAGGAAATGAACCGAAGATAGCTTCTGCTTCTGCACGTCGTCCAAAAGGAGCAAAGTTGAAGCATGGCGTGTGACAGTTCCACACAGTTCCACACAGTCTGTGCGTGCCTGGATCACCGTGGAGAGGACCAACGCTCCACCCAAGTCGCCTGCAATCGCCGGGAGCGAAGTGGCAAAGAGTCGCGGTTTCTGGTGACTTCGCAGCTCGGGGACTGCAGCGTTTCTTTCAGAACCTTATTTGAGGTAAGCGGAGCCGCCCTTTGTGTTGGTCCCTGCCATTTCTGTCTCTCGATCCCGAAATCAGCGAGAAATTATGCAGATGGTACATCTTGGACGAAATAATGCCATGAGTCCATGTTCTTGCAACACTGCGGTGACACACTCTGGTTTGGTTTCTTACCTTCAGTGTACAAGGATTTGGCTAGTGAGCCGTGAGGTGCGCTCTCGCACGGACCGCTCTGTCCGGCAGCTCTTGCTGTGGCACGTTTTCGACTCAAGCAGAGCTCCCCACCCAAAAGCGCTCGAAGTCGCTAAAGTGCAAGCAGAGCCACAGGGCTGCTTGGGGTGGTTGGGGGCCATACACCGGAGTGCGCTTGGAGTGACTCTTAGATATATGTCAGGTATGTAGGGCTGCGCCCCTGTTGCCAGCATAAGTTTCAAAAACCACTCCCACAACAAGCCACCCGCCATTGCAACAGCACCAGAGGACCCCTCTCGCCTTCCTTGGCTCCTGCGACCGACGTTCTGTGGCTACAGCTGGAGGGATGCAGGGCGCACCGAAACCGATCCGTACGTTCCGATCGCCTCGCTGGAAGCCCATCGTTTGTTCAGCTTTCCGGGCGATCTCGTTGACGATGCGCTGCATGATGAAGTCCCTCTCGCTTGGGCACTCCTGAGCACAGCAGAGAGCAGACAAGGGAGGCCCAGCTCTCTCTGCAAGAGGGGGCCCCCTTTGGGGCGGCTTGTTTTCTTCACAGAGACGAGGAGCTGACACGACCCTGTCGAAGATCTCCGCGGTCCTGAGCGAGGCCCTCCCGGCTGCGACCCCAAACAAAACAGCCGATGCTTTTGCCACATTCGGCCGGGCGGCATGATCTGGACCTCACAGTTTCCCTGTGGCTGCAGTTTGCCCTCCAGGGGCGGAAGCCCGAAAAGCAGCTGCTCGTTGAAGCAGGTGCCTCGCTCTGAGAAAGGCTGGCCGAGCTGTTGTCGCAACGAAGAGTTCAGAGGACCACTGTTCTGCTGTCATGCAGCCCTCCACGAAGACCAGCTCGCCCTTGTCCGGAGTGATCATCCGAATCCTTGGATAGACCCACTCTCAGGAACGAAGCAGGGTCGAATAGCACACCAGAAGGACTGGAACGTTGGAGATAGGACTTCGGATTTCGATCGCCGCCAGGCCGGAAACAGTGTACATCGAGGCTGCTACAATAGCGTTACAAATCGAGACTGTGTGACTGACCAGCAGAGTCGAACAGGAGGAGGAAGAAGCAGAGGAGGAAGAGCCACAAATGGGCATCTCAAGTCCAAACAGGCACATCTCGACATAACGTTGGCATCAACTGTCACCACTAGCGGCCCTGTCGACGACGACCCCAAGTCTCCATTGTCATAAGTAGCGTCGTTTCTGACCCAATTATGGTGGTTGTGCCGGTCATCGCCGTGAGTGCTGCCAGCACCTACATGACTGTCGTTGGTGTTGCTTCAGCAGACCTGATGTTTCTCTTTTCGCTTGTGCTGCTCGTACTACGGAGAGTATGATCGTCGTGGGCACAGCGGTTGTATTTGTCTGCGCGACTGCTCGCGCACGGCGGTTGTAGGTGTCTTCAGAATTAGACTATTGCTGCTGGTAGGTTGCAGGGTGTAAAAAAACACCCCAAACTTAAACCCGCTTCTCCAGTGTTTTTTTCCGAGGGGCTCTCCTCTGAGGACCAGGATGGCTGCCTGCTCCGGCAGCTGCTCCCCGTTGAAGGTGGACCAAAGCCCCTTGGCGGTGATGTGCTTCCTTCCAGGCGAAGTCGAAGTGAGGAAATTTGCCGAATCGAAAGCTGCATAGCGATGATACAAAGCCAACGGGTCGTCAAGGGCTTACAGCTTGCGATACCGCCCTGGGGCCCTATAGGTCTAGGCGTGAAGGCGAACACGGCAACGAACAGCGCTCTTCCCCACGAAGTGGCCTCGCATAGAGGTTGATCAACGAAAGCAGTTTGGGCGAAGCGCCGACGAATAAGGGCCACTGTGTGCCTGAGGAGCATCACGAGCTGATGCAATTGAGTTTTCTGGCTTCGAACTCGCACCGAGGGGCTCGAGACCACGACGCCATGTTGACGTCCGATCTTCTGGAAGTGCTCTTGTTCCTTCAAGCGACCAAAGTAAACGCAAGCCGCCGACCGCAAAGACGTAGCCCCTTGACCTCCGGGTGCCTCCGGGTGATCCTCCAAAGCTGCAATAAAGGCCGCCCTTGGCATCTCCAGGACGATGCAAATCTCCTGACAAGCGAAAGCCAGTTTCAATGGTCAAGGACTCGCGGCAGCGGCACGCTGGAAGACTACAATTGATTCCAACTTCTCGACAACAAAGATTATGGCTGTGCACACTAATGGCACCAGACATCATCAATATACTACGCTGGCAAGACAGTCGAAAAATCACTGCCGTTCGCATCGTCAACATCAATCATCACCATGAATCATCATCACCGCCAGCCATCATCATCATCATCATCATCGCCACCATCGTCATCGACATCAAAATCATCGTCATTGTACAACTTCGAAAAAGTAACAGCCGCAGTTGGCAGCAGCACTCTCCGCACAGCCAGAGCAAAGCAACAACGAAGACTCCCGGCCTTTGCGCGGACCACGGCACTCCGTCGCTTCACGAAGCCCAGAATGGTTAGCTCCCCAAAGCTGTCTCCCGCATGGACCTAGGATTTTGAGGTTCAGGGAGGGAGGGGATTGTGAAGGACTTGGGGGCTTGGCTGAACGCGGAGCTCGGAAAGCCAAAGCTTAAAGACACAACGACACAGCTGTGACGGCAACAAGACGACGAGGCAGGCAAGAGGTGCAAATGTTTGTGCACAAGGTGTGTGTCGTTTCATGTTGACGTGAACAAACCTCGCGTGTTTTTCGCTTTGGCTTGGGCTTTGCGGTTTGCTTTGGTCTCGCCTTGCCATGATTTCTTAACCACCAGCTTCGCTGGCTGTTTGTCGTTCGAATGACAGAGATAAGAAATTCTCGCAACTACCCTGCCTTTCGACAATTGTTTACGTCTGACGTTCGGTGCATGCAGTCCGGCAACCGGTACAGTAAAGAGCCAGCAGAACGCCGGCCGCTGCAGCAAAGAAAGAGCTCAACAACAAAACAGTGCGTAACAGGTATCCTGGCTGGTAGGGATGTCATCATCCCGTGCCCCCAACTCCCCACCCCCATCTCCTCACCCAGCAAGTGACATAGGGTTCATTCGGTTCATGGAAACAGGCTGGGAGTGGCACCGATACTGACAGGGACTAGGACCAGGATAGACGGTTCATGGTTCGTGGTAGGAAAAAGCAGCAGAATATGAAGAGGCGCACAAATTGCAAAGAGCATTGACACCAACAGGCCCCATGTTCGCGGAGCAGAAACAAAAGATCGCTTGAATCGTCCTGCAAGGCACGTCTTTGACGTAGCGGTGATTGACGAAGACTTCGGCAGACCCTCCTTTGATGATGTACCTCGGTTTCTTTCGCTTGCCGAAAGATGACAGCTCGAGTGCCTTTCAGAAAAGACAAGCCAAGCTGCATGGAGCCCGAATCCACGGCCCCCTGCACGGTGATCGTCTGACCAATCTTGTAGGTCACCGTACGGATGCAGCCTGCCCGAGTCCCAGAAACAAGGTGGACGAAACGAGACTCGAGTTTGGAAGCAAATCCCACGCCCCCGACCGCAACCTGAATCCCAAAAGTGGGTCAAGTTCCGAAACTCTTTGACGGCTCTCCCTGGCGCCTGCAATTGCCTGGAGGAAGCCTGACCCACATCCTTGCAGAATGGTGAGGCCTCGGTGAAGGCTGGAGGGTGCTTTAGGACATTTTAGGACTTTAGGGCGAGCCCAGGTTCACTTAGGACTTCTTTTGGGGGGGTCACTTGGACCTGCGCCCCGAACAAGATTCTGAGTCGCTTAGATAATCTTTGTGAGGCTGACTTGGGTCTTCAGGGTTTCGGGTTTAGGGTTCCTGGGCGTTGGCTTTCGGGTTTAGGGTTCATGGGCTTCGGGTTCAGGGTTTAGGGTTTCAGGGTTTTACGGTTTAGGGTTCATGGGTTTCGGGTTTAGGGTTGAGGGTCTCCTGGTTTAGGGTTCAGGGTTGAGGGTTTACGGCTTTGGTTTACGGTTCAGGGTTTAAGGCTTTTACGGTCGGTTTCGGGTTTAGGGTTCATGGGCTTCGGGTTTAGGGTTCATGGGTTCAGGGTTTAGGCTTTAGGGTTTTAGGGTTTTGGGTTCGGGGGTGAGGGTTTAGGGGTTTGGGGTTTAGGGTTTAGGGTTTAGGGATCAGGGTTTAGGGTAGCTCGGGTTTAAGGTTTAAGGTTCAGGGTTTTAGGGTTTAGGGTTCAAGGTTTCGAGTTTAGGGTTTAGGGTTCAAGGGTTTTACGGTTTAGGGTTTAGGGTTCGTGGGCTTCGGGTTTAGGGTGTAAGGCTGTTCCGGCTTAGGGTTTAGGGTTTGGGGTTCATGGGTTTAGGGTTTGGGCTTTGGGGTTTAGGGTTTTAGGGTTTAGGGGTCTGGGATCAGGGGTTTAGGGTTTAGGGTTCATGGGTTTAGGGTGGGGTTTGGGGTTTCGGGTTCATGGGCTTCGGCTTTAGGGTTTCGGGGTTAGGGTTTAGGGTTCGTGGGCGGTTTACGGTTCGCCGGCTTCGGGTTTAGGGTTTTGGGTGTAAGGCTGTAACGGCCCTTTAGGGCTGAGGAGAGGAGAGGAAGAAGCTCGGTGAAACTGCAGGCGGGCTGCTGGCCGCATCGTGTTCCCGCTTCGCATTACCTCCGTCTGTCTTGGTGTTCTCCTGCGGCTTCAGGCAATGGCCCATCTTGTTCTTTCGAACGTTCCAGGATCTCAACCCGCTCTGCAAACCAAAAAACATTTGCGGGGTCCGAGGAGTCTTTGCAGGAACAAGAAGCTTTAACTAGAGATGTGTCAAATGCTGTGAGATGCAGGATGCACCCGACAGAGCGGCTTCGGCTGCACGTGCCTTCACGAGGCGAAATCTCTGCTGCTCGGAGGGGTAGTTGTCCAGGACACCGTTGAAAGACTGCCTGCAGCACTGCGGCTGAGGGCAGCAACGCTCTTCACCACCTCCTGCAGAGTTGAGCAAAGCTGCCTCGGGATGAAGAGGAGCAGGGCCAAGGGCGTGGCAATCCTGAAGGTGGCGTCTGGCCACATGGACGGCATGTTGAAGAACCTGCAGAAGGCCGAAGACAAGCTGGATGCGGAGCGAAGTCAACGGCTTTCGCTGTGGAAGTCCAGTGCCACCGGAGTCTGGAGATCGTAGTGGCTTCTCACTTTGAAACCGGCTACAACCCTCAACCCTGGAGCCTTCGTTCCCCCAGCACGGTGCCCACTTCGCAGGAGCCGCAGAATTCGACGCCACAACCGCCTCTGAGGGACAGCACGTGCAGAGCTACGGAAGGGTTGTGGTTTCAAGCTCTGCTGACCGCTTCTAGGCTTAGCTTCGACAGATTTCGACCGCAAACTTCGGGGCACAAAGAAGTCTTGAGTCATCTTCACCAGTGGTCACAAGGTCTCAAATTCTGCCCGGGAGACCCTCGCGTCGCCGTTCGACGCGGCATCGCCCAAACTCGATCACTCGCAGGGTGTCATCTATGATCCCCTCCTGGTCCGAGTTCCGTATCGAGACATTCAAGCGCTCTCTCGAACCCGCCGAGAGTCCTCCCGCACCTGGTCGCCTGCGAAGAAGACCTGCGCCAAACGAAGCGGCGCTCTTCAGATAGGCAGATAGATAGGAATTTAGACGGATAGACACACGGATAGACGGATAGATTGATAGATGGATGCGATAGCTGGAGAGATTGATAGATCGATATGTGGACGGATGGATAGATGGCTGGGTGGGTGGGTGGGTGGATGGATAGATGCATGGATGGATGTGTGGCAGACATGGTCGTCGACGTTGACTCTAGCTCAAGCTCTCTATAGCTCTCTCTGTCTCTCTGCCACGTTTTGTCCAGTCTCTCCTTGCGGAGTCGTTCGATGCCCTCGCTCCGCCTCTTGGAAATCGTAAGGAATCCCTCGATGGCTGTGCTCTCCGAATGTTTGCCGTGCCTTCCGCTCGGAGACGGAGGCCACTGCTCGGAGGAAGGCCAGGTCACAGCTGGAGAAGATCTGCATCCCCTGCGAGTGCAGGCTCCATGCTGGAGAGAGTAGTAAACATCCGCTTTTACGAATGCGTGCCACGTGTGCCATATGCTGTCATAAACATAGTAACATAGTACCTCCTTTCTTCGAGGTTCTCCTTGCTGTCCGCTCTCGGCCTTGAGGGCTTGCGCGGGGCGAGGGAGGCTGCCCTGGAGCTGCATCACGATCTCCCGGAGCCTCCCCATGAAGCCTCCAAAAGCGAAATAGGCTGCCACCAGTTCAGGCTGGGATCTCAGCTTGGCTTCGGGTTAGGACTACTCCAAGAACTTCGGCACGGCACAATTTTCATCTGCGAACGGACAGCACTGGTCAGTGTTCAGCGGCAGATTGCGAAGTGTCATGGCATGAAACGCAAGGCCCGAGCGGACAGCGCACTGCGGGGTATCATGCCACTCAGGTGCTCCCATCCCAGAGCAGAACAACGTGGCCAAGGAAGCGTCTGTTGCCCCCTCTGCAGCAGAGGCACTGCTGGTGATCCCAGGAAACATGGCTAGCGCATCCAGAATCACCTCGGGGGCCGTGGTGAAAAACTTGTCGGTTCCAACCACACCTCTACTGTTTCCCACGAAGAACAAGTCAGGTGATGTCCTCACTCGTTCCTTTGCCGGGAGGCACTCGGTGGGATGGCAATGGCGTCCACCTGCGTCCATGCGCTTCCGTTGAGAATCCCTGTCAAGTTTATTGTCCCCGACACCCGCCTCCGTCTGTGCACGCACAGTGGCGCCCCGCGGCACCCCGCCGTGCAAGAAGCAGACCTGTTGGTGTCGCTGCAGAAACCAAAGGATAATGCGGTTCGCCCACTTGCGTTTAGCCGAAGGGCGTCCCCCATGACAGCCCCTTCGCTGAGGGAGCCAATCGTCTGCGGTACTGCCTGCAGGCACTAGATGTTGTCATGGACGAGCAAGCGGGTAGAGGACTCCAATTGCCTCCTCGCCATTGTAGCTGAGCTTCTCCACATCTGCCTGCATGTATGCGGCCCTCTTAGATAAGAGTTTGCAGAGTTGGACACCCTTTTGCAAAACGACCTTGCCACTGTTGATGGCAATCAGCCAATCTGCCAGCTCTCCCAGGTCGTCCTCCTCTACCTGGCACAAGGCTTCTCGTGCTTGGAGTGCGCAAGCAGACTACAGAATGGTCGGACTGCGGGAATCGACTTCTCTGTTGAGCCCGGGTCGCAAGGGTCTCCTTTGGGGCATAGTGTCGCCGCTGTGTTCCGCAGGCAATCAGCCAGATAACCTTGCACCAGGAAGCGCTGGAGCTCACAGCTACGACAAAAACTGTCTTTCGCATGCGAAAAGCGGCTTGTCCTCTGACTTTCTACCCACCGACATGCCCAGGCATCGGTATTTGCGCACCTCCGGCGGGACGCCGGGGAACATGCCGTGCCGCAGGATGCAGATGAACTGGTCCTGAGTATTACAGGTCAATATACACAAAAATGGGATCGAGAGGAGCGCACACCCCTAGCAAAGCAAACTCCCTGTCTGCAGTGCCAGGCTCCGTCAATCTGGACAAGTTTGCATGAAAGGGTCGCAAGGCGTCGCCTGCGGAGGAGCTCTGACACGACGCAACTGCACCAAAGAACCAGCCCCACCTTTGGCCAGTACCTTCTCAACCAAGTCCAGCGAGACCTACACTGCAGAGTGCAAGTTTTGTTGTATTGTGCTTGGGGCGGCATAAGCTTTGCTGCAAAGCTGCCATCGCAACCTTCGCCCCCGCACTATCTGCTGGTTTGATGTCCTTGGAAGGGAAAGCAGAACTCTTGGACCCACTCTGTGAGCTCCCTTCTGTAAGTTACAGTTTCGAAGCTGCGGTCTCTTCCCCATGAAGCCTGATTCCCAGCAAATGGACTTGCTGGGAATCGCCTGTGAAAGAAGTCAGGGATCCATGCGGAGCCAGCCAGAGAGGTTGGTCTGCTTCTGGCTGCTATAGCAGCTGATGGGACAAAGGTTGTAGATGTTCTGAACCTCGTCCTGCAAAATGGGGCAAAATTTACAAGAGGGGTTGTCTCTCAGCTCGCAGACTGGGTCCTTGCCTTCAGAGGGCCTTGGGCCGTCTTTGGATCCATGGACACGCAGTCATCCAAATCGTCGTTGGGATCGCTTGCCGGCTTCCCTGCCTCAAGCTAAGCACAGGAAGCAGGTTCCGGGTTGCGCAAGGCACGGCCAGCAGCCGTGTGCCTTTGGCTTGTAGGGCTCCGCCAGCTCGTGCAAGCCCAGCATCCCTGGGACGTTCAGCACGCTCCCGGGCCCGGCATCCGTGTCCTCAGAAAAGCAGAGGCAAGCACGAGCGCACGCGCGCTGCTGCGGGAGGACTTCCACTCGGTGCGCCGCTGGAGCGCAGCCGATGCAGATGCGAACCGCTCCCGACAGGACCACCAGCAGAGGGACCTGCAGAGAGCGACGAAAGCGAAAGGAGCGAGGCGCGCTCCACGCTCGCTTTTCACGCACCTGGTCCGAGAAGACGATCTCCTCGTGGCCGTCGTAGCGTCGGCACTGCGCCTCTTCTCGATTCGGTGACGGGAAGGACACTCGTGTGCAGGTGGCCCGGCACGCCTTCTTGGCGATCTGCTTTATCAAGAACTCCTCCCATGCTGGCAGCTGTCCGGCATGGCGGGTGGACCGAGTATGTTTGTTCGAGATCTTGCAACCTTGCATGCGACCTTTCCCGCGTCTCGGTCCTCGCATCCCTGAAATATCGGCACCCTGGCGCGAGGCACAAAAATCCGGGGGACGTGCTTCGCTGCAGAAAGGACCAGCGTTACCAATCATCCGGCCGCAGAAAGTTACGGGTTCTGCGATGTCGATGCTCTGAAGACTCCGGCGTGGTTTGAGGTTCGGAGCTCAACTAGTTTCGGAATTTGCACAATCCTACCCATCGGCCTATCTGTGGCATGACTGGGCAGAGTGGAATCATATGAAGTGACACCACAGTTTCAACAGCAGAGGACGCAGCGTACAAAGTGCAGCCAGGGATTCGAAGCCAGCGACGCCTCCAGAATTTTCACCTGACACAAGTTGTTTCTGAAAAACCTTCTTTTGCTTCTAGGATTCTACAGGGCCCGTCTTTGCCCCTATGGCTTGGAGGTCGCGCCTCCTGATCGTTGATCTTCTCGGCATCCATTGCAGCTGCAAACCTAGGCGATTGCCCGCAGGGCCGAATCAAACACGTGCCAGTTGCCACGTCAAGTAGGCTTTTGTGAGAAAGACAAGCGTTTCTCAAGGGTCCCTAAAGCCACCTACCAGCAAGAAGGGGCACAAGCTCAGAAGCACTTCGTCCGGCCCCGGCTTCTTCCGGCCCGAGCGGCAGCAGCGGCTCAGACCCAAGCTTTCCCCGGGCGCCGCCGGATTCGCAGCGGCCGGGGCCCGCTCTAAGTCATGCCCGGCACCCTTCGGGTGGGGACGAAAGGGCGCCTTGAAGAGGGTCGGGTGTGAGGTGGGACGTGGGACGGCTGGGAAGGCTTCGGACTCTGAGTTGCTGTGGCCTGGGCTGTGGCCTGCAGCTTGAGCTTGCGGGGGCTTTGCATGGCTTTGCTCTTGAGTCGGGAGGGGCATTTGGTGGCACCTTCAGGGACCTGTCGACAGCCACAGGAACGGCAGAGGAGCACTCCCTACGAAATCAGAAGCACCGGCATGCGGGGCTGGCACTGCATCATGGTCCTTCAGTTGCCCAAGCACAGCTCAGCATGTGGTCTGGACTTCGAGTGTTTTGTCGCAGCATGGGTGGGTAGACGGGCACAGAAGTATAAACCTTGGAGCATGAGATTTAACTTTGGCTCCAGAGACCAAAGCATCAACGGATCCACAAGATTGTCGTCCAATGGATCCGGAAGGGTTTTAGTGCCAAGCATTGAACTTGCTTTGACCACTCAGCTATGCTCAAACCCTTGGAAAAATGGAGTGCCTGATGAGCCAATCTCTCGGATACCTCTCAGCAGGCATCTTCCAAACACTCCTTTGCTAAAGGTAGGGGTTTCCCTCCAGAGTCTAGAGTCTAGAGAGGGTCACTTACCTTCAGCTTTGGGATACCGGTAAAGCTCAATGGCAGCCTAATCAGCCTGGACATGGTCTACTTTCGGGACTGTTCTTGATGGACTGGGGGAAACGGCTTCTTCCCGTCCGCTCTGAGGCGGCGAGAGAAACTCTGCGGCAGCGGCAGACGAGCCATCAAAGTTAATGATCCTCGCAGCTGCCCCGCTGGCCTCCCGAGGACTTCGCACACATGAAAAGTGCTTTTGAGGAGGACGAGGAGGTTTGCTAAAGCACTAAAACCGAGAGGTTCGAGGTGCCTTCGCGAGGGCCGGGCCGAAGCCGGCGGCCCGGCGGCGGCGTCACTTCTCGCTGCCGCGCAGCGCGCTCTGCAAGGGAAAGGCGACGACAGCGAGGCGACAGAGACACAGGAAACGCAGGAAATGCAGGAGACGCGGAGAGCTCTGGGCAGATGCAAACTCGGCCGAGGCACGAGGATCATGGTCCAAGCCAGGCTGACGCCATGGTTAAGCGGCAGTCTCATCCAGATGGGCACCTCCAAGAAAGAGACCCCCCTTTTTTCTGCTCCGCCGCGGTCCTCCCCGCACTGGGTGCCCGGCCGCATAGATTATCAGATCGAAGGGGACCTCTCTGCAGGTGCTGCGTGCAGTGCATGCAGCCTCCGTGCGGCTACGGCCTCTCTTCTCTTCTGAGAGCTGGACCCAGAGACCCCACATGTAGAGGTTGTCCTGCACGGAATTCCTGGCATGTGGAGATCGGTTCTTTGCTTTTAAGCCGATTGATCAAAGAGCCCACGCCGACGGCCGGAAGGGTCGGCTGAGCGCCTCCAGTATTTGGCCAGCGCCCGGGAAACCAGGGGCTCGGCCGGTGCCGGTGCCTCGACTCGAGGGCTTCCAAGGGAAGTCTCTCGTCGCTGTTTCTTCTTTGTCAACCTTCCGGGCTTCCGGCCTCAGGGCCCGCGGTGACGGTGTTGATGCCCTCCTGACAGGCAAGAGAGCACTCACGCTTCAGGAAAAGAGAAGGAGAGGTCGCATTGTGGGATCACATGACATGCAGGATCATGCGGGAGCTGCCGTGCTGTCCTTGATGACGTAGAAGACGGGGAAGTACACGAACGTGTAATGGACAAAGTTGTCCAAGCACGTCTGCAAAGTGGGATGACGAAAGGGGAGGAGTGGCTGAAGACCCGCCAAAAAGAGACTCAAAATCTGCCCCGCCCCCTCTACGAGGCTTTAGAGGCTCTATAGTAGGCTCTCTCTCAGGCGCTTCAGGCTTCAGTTCAGTCCAGTGCCGCTTCCGCCGGCGCCTGCTTCACGAGGTCCAGCTGCCCCGCGCGGTCCTTCAGCTTCTCGGCCTCGCGCAAAGGGAGTGGCGAAAGAGAAGCCGGGCTCCGAAAAGTTGGAAGGCCCGCATCTCTTCTAAACGCGAAAGCATCGAATTTAAAATCTATTCTGAAGAGCCATCAGATGGGATCCATCTCTCCGTGCCAGGAAGAGGGGCTTGGGTCTCCGGTAGGATGGTGAGAAAGCCCCCCCCTGTGTTGGGGCCCTGGCCCAGGAGAGGTTCGCAAAGCGGATTGCGTGAGGACACAGGCGCGTGAAGAGGGTCACGTAGATGAACCCTGAGCAGAAAAAGGGCTCAGAGTTTTGTTGAGGGTTCCGGGGCTTGGGATTGAGATTAGGGTTTGAGGCTTAGGGATTTTCGGAATTTTGGGTGGATCGGGCTTGGGCCCGGGGACGGGACTGCGGAGGCAGGCGTTATGGAAGCCGAGCTTTTGCTGAGGCACACTGCACGAAGCCGAGGTAAGCGAAGCCGAAGGCAGTGAAGGCACCGTTCCTCTAAAACGGCAACATACGTCATGTCTGGATAGTATTGCTACGAAGACAAGGAGCACAGTTCGGGCCTCTGCCAATCCACTTTCTCCTTACCCTCAGCCTTTTGCACCTCGTCATCTTCAGCAAACATAATACTGGCAGTAGTCACACGAGCCATCAAGACTATGAAAACTGAACAACTACACTCATGAGCCTACGGCCACAGTCGTGGAATTGTGGGTCATGAGTCATGATAATCAATCTGATAACTACAAAAAAATGTCTACGCAGCGCGACACGCACTCCAAAGGGAACCGAGGCTGCCGGCTATGAGGTCAGCTAAAGACGTTTTCACCTTGGCTGCTGCTGGGACCAAGTGAAGCACGAACAAATACGTGCTCACAACGTTTGGGCTCTCGGCCCAAGTGTTATCTTAAGGTTTCGTGGTCTCTTGTTGGCTCACCAAACTGTAGCTAACAACCGGTTTCCTACACAGCTACAGCAAGGCAAATCAGGCTCCCGTTGCGCTATGAAGTCTTTGGGAATATCCATGAGCCTGCCCTGCAGCACCCCAAACCATTAATGGGTTCGATCTGCCAAGACCCCAAACCATTCCGATAAATCAGAAAAAAAAAAGGCTTTGGAGGCCATCAAGGAACAACGGGAAGAATCGACCGGCCGTCTAACAGAAAGGTTGCGGCGTGCGGCGGCCGGGCGTGTTAGGAGAACTTCCCCGACCCTCCCGGATCCATAGCGAAGGAATCTAAAGAACTGCAGCGGCTCCAGGACTCTACTGGTAGGAATTGGAAGACAGGACAGCACCCACGGACTGTGATCTTGTCGTCGCTATCACACTTGACCCAGCGACTGTGACGTTCTGGCCAAGGATCCGTTGCAACGATCACGTTCGTGGCGAAGGGCTGACGCTTGGGAAAGGTCGTAATGGCTCCCCAAAGGCCCTCATACCTCGGCTCAAGGCTGCTCGGGGAAAGCCCTTCAGGCCCTTCAGAGCATCGCCCTGCCAAGGCCCGGGCTGAACATCGTGGGAAATGCCGTCGCCTCCCCATAGAGGGACCGGCGAGGAGGAGGAGGAGGCCACTCTACACTCAACACTGACTCTCTGGACTCCCTGCCTTTGGCGTCGAGCCGGGGTCTGGCTGCCTGCTCGAATCTTCCGATGTCAGAAAAGCAGACTCTTGTCGTCGCCGCCGAAAGAGCAGCAACCCAGTAGATCATCATCGCTGCCCTCACCGCTATGATCACTGCTGCTTGTTACAATCATTCTCATACTCATCCTCATCCTGATCAACCGCTTCGTCCTTCACGTGTCACCACCACCACGTACGAGGTAATGCATGCAGCGACGGAGAATCATGGATTGACAGACTGATGAGCAGACGGACGGGCGACGGCCAGACACGCGGATGCACCAAACGGGGTGTGTGCCCCACGAACGAGTACTCGTAAATCTCTAAGTGCGCTTTGGGAGCAGCAGAAGCGCATCTTGTGACTTGAGGATCCCGCGCTCGTCGCACAGAGTCTTTATGTCTTTGCTCGGTTTGGGCAGCATTTGAGCATGTTTCACCACTGGAGAAGCACAGCGACCACCATTGGCTTATTGGCTTCTCTGTGCCCAGGGCACTTGGTAGCTGCGGCGCCCGCGCTGCTGCCAGGTCTGGGCTCGATCACACCTGCATCGCACGGATATTCGCGTGGGCTACTGTGTGTATATATATATATAACATATAATATCTAATATAATATATATATAATATATAATATATAGTATATAGTCTGCAAAGATGCTCCGTGCCGAAAGGGCGCCAGCCTGGCCAGCCTGGCTGGAAAGCGATGCGCGGCCCGCAGCATGGCGCAGCCCGGCCAAGGGGGGCCTCTGATGCTGCGAGGATCGAAATGACAAAGTTGCTCGGATGCTCTGGCCATGCGGTGATCTGGGACTGCGGCCGAAGCCTCTGGAAGCCCGCTCTGGAAGCCCTGCTCCTCCCAAAGGAACACAAAAGGGGAAATGACGAAATGACGAATGCAAAAACACGAAGAGCCGTCTCCTTCGGCTTGGTCAACTCGTGCACGGCCCGTCACTTTTCGAGTTCCGAGCTTCGGAAAAGCAGCGGCGGCAGGAAACGTAGCCGGTGATCTACCGCTGCTTACGTCGGCAACAGCAACAAGGCATCCAAAGACGCAACACGCTCTTTTTTGAAGCCTTGTTTGAGGTCAAGCCGGGGTCTTGTCCTTTTCGTTGCTGAGCAGGTGCCATCCTCTGGGCTTCACCTGGCGGCGCCGGCCAAGCCTTAAGCCATCTTAAGCCTCCCTCTTCTGTCCCGTCCCTCCCGTCCCTCTCGTCCCTCCCGTCCCTCCCGTCCGGCCGTGTAGTAGTTGGCATCCTCGAAGTGGCAATTCGCCTCTGGATTGGCCCTGGCAAAGAGCGAGGAGAGTCCGTGCTTATTGGCCGTCACTGGCGAGGGCTCTGCGCATGCCAATGCAGACATGTCCGCGTCCTGCCTGAGGAGATGCTCCCGGCCAGGCACATAGAACCCTCAGATCAGACTGCGCATCTGAGCTCTCTCCCTTGGCCCCAACCGACAATTGGGCCCGGACGGCAAGGAGGATCGTGCCTCTTCCTGACGACTCAGGGCAGGGCACGATCCTGCTCGAAAGCACATGCGACGTATTCAGAAAGAAAGAATATCATTTGTGAGTTCACTTTCTTTGAAGACAAGCTCTGAAATGCTCGAAGCAGGGGCAAACCGCCACAGACACAAACTCTTTGAAGCCTTCGCGAATCGTCAACTTAAGACATGTCCACCGCTTTTTGTTCTTTCCACAGGCTCCGCCAAGCTGCAGATACTCGGAGCGTAAACAATGGACAGGGTTTGCAGTAAACCAAGTGCAAGGTGTCGTCTTTGCCTCGGGTGCATGTGGCACAATGATTCTCGCGCAGCTTCGGAGGAAGGAGTTTGGATGGCCTTGATTCAGGAATTTCGAGCAGTCGCGCGGCTCAGGATGTGGAGTGTAGAGGTATCGCATTTGGAGCTCGGCTACAAGTAAGAGCTTTGAGGTTTGTAGTTTGGAGTTTAGGTAAGGTTCACACACCTTGAATTGGTTAGGCATGACAGAAGTATGTTCTTTATAGCGCGCCGTGCTGTCGTTTTGACCACTCCTCAATTTGAAAGTGCAGAACCGTCGAGCGAGAAACGTCCAGCGAAGTCGAGGCGCGAGGTCCACGTAGCTGGTCTCCTGCTGCGAGTGGTCCACCCGGATGTAGTTCAGGAGCAAGTGCCTTTTTCCGAGGCTTCAGGTGGAGCTAACGATGGCTAACGAATCTAACAAAAGTTATCTGACCATGGCCGTGCACCTACCTCGTGACAGAATGATATCATCTGATACCCTCTGTGGAATCATGACAGGGGAGTGTACAGTGGACGACTTGTGTAATACTACGGCTGGTACGGGGAGACTGCACATCGAGGCGCACGATGAGCACGTGAAGACTGGCATGAAGCACGAACACCAGGATGAGCACACCTCAGCAAAGATCCACTGAGATCGCCTCTGACTCTGAACCCTTCGCAAACCACAGAAGCCAAGGCTCGCATGAGGTCCATGCTCACAAAACAGTACGTTTCGAAGGGCATGAGCTTGCCAAGCGGATGCTCTTGCCTTGGATGGGCCCCCGTGGATTCGTTCGTTTCGCCCAAAGCCCTCCAATGTTTGTCTCGTTCGGAGCTTCGCCTGTCCACTACCAGCTGCAACGTCCCAGGATGTACCGCCAGCCGACGAATCCCCTCTGCTGCCGACATGCATGTCTTTGCAGTTGGCCTTGAAGACCTTGGCGTCGGCTCTCTGTGTTTCACATCACCTTGAGCAGGCTGAGGAGGAGGCGACGCAGACCAGGACAATGCCGGTTGGGATGGCCATCATCATGTGCCTGAGATGGCTCTGAAGGTCTCCAGTAATGGGGTCGGATGAAAAGAGTCATGTGCCCCAACGGAACGCAGAAAACTTCCCGCGACATGCATGTCTTTTTTGGCGTGCTGTGACGGGTGGCGCCAGAATGTCGACTGACATCAGGTTATACCTGAGACTGAGAACTCGCAAACTTGAAGATGTTCACTGCACCTCCTCACTCGTACAAGGCTGGACTTCAAGCAAGTGCCCACACGGCTCGACTGATGCAAGTCCGGTATCCCATCCTTCGGTTGAACGGTACTACGGTCCGGAGCCCTGAAATGCACACTAAATTGGGTTCAAAAGTCCTCACTCGAGGCATCGCCCGGAGCATCATCCAGTGATCGAAGAGGTAGATGTAGACGTGACATCCCTCAATCGCTGGTCTCTAGCAACTTCGTATCTCTTCACGCTGTTAGGTGCATCCAGCGCGGCCAGGAGGTAGCCAAATGCCCGCGCAGTGAAGCCCCCGTGGATGGCCAGGAATATCACCTGAAAAGCCGATGAACTGTGGGAGCTTTTTGCTACTGAGGCAAAGGGCCGCGGCCGCGATGGTGAGGTTCAGAATGGCGTCACCATAGCGTGAAAGGTCGTTGACCCAGAACCAGCTCACTGTCTCCCTTGCAGGCAGAAATGACTCCGGTTTCGATATCGCAGAGGCAGCATGCATCCAAGACACTGCGCATCATAATTGCTCATCTCCACATGGGAGCGAACGACCAGCTTTCCCAAGTGGTAGGCCACGAAGCCGAGAATGGGCTCGAAGATGAAGGGCGCCAGGAACGTGGAGGGCATGGCGTAACTCAGCCAAAGCGCGCCAGCCCCCTCCTGTTCCCGTTCCCCAAAAAACCCTCCCTTCTCTTGGACGTCCTACTGTAGCCTAAACCCTAAACCCTAAACCCTAATACCAGTGTGTACTTACGTTTCTCTGTTTAAAAAAAGCTGGGACGAGGAGCTCCAAGAGTTGGTTGCCCAGGGCGTTCTGCATCACGTAGGTCTGAACCACCTCGTGCCTCAGAGGCCAAGAAAAAAGGAGGGATCCCTCCCCCTCCCCTTTTTCCCCCCTCCCCGCTCCTCTCTTCCCATAAAAAGGCGACGCTGGTAGAGACGCTTCTCTCTCTCTCTCTCCCTCTCGCGCGCGGAATGTTCATCCTTCGCCGGAGGGCCAGCTCGCAATGTCCGAGAGCTTCTCGCCACCGTAGCTCCGCCGACCGGCCTTACACCCGTCCGCACCCGTCTGCTTGCAGAGAGAGAGAGAGAGCGCGAGGGAGAGCGAGAGAGAGAGGGAGACACATCTTTCGCGAAGAGTGCTCAGTGCCGTCGTGCTGGGCAAACCAGATCCGTTTGTTTCAGCTCTGGCATCCTTCCGAAAGACCTCTTTTCACACCAAGTGTCTGCCACAAGCTGGTTGAAGGTCGTCCTTGCAGTGAAGAAGAGGTCCATCATCCTGGGCCATGGGCTCTGGGCCGTGCGGTGTGCTGCCGGCACGTGCCGCGGTAAACGTCATCACATCGCAGCTTACTCTACCGCCGAAGCACAGCTCCAGGATCATGGCCACGAGGTAGAAGCCCAAGTAGGCCTTCTGCTTGTGCTCGGTGTACCTCACAAGCACCGGTCTCTGCTTCCCCCTGTCAACCTCCGATAAGCCGAGGAGCCAAAGATTCAAATCCTCGGCGACTTTGTCGCTGAAGAGGTAGATGATCTGGTTGGCCTGAAGGGCCAGACTCAGACGGCCGGACGGCGTTGAGAAGCAGCAAGTCTCCTGTTGCCGTTTTGCCCCCACTGCCCGGCATTTTGCAAACGACTTCGGAACTGTGCGGTTTAGCAAAGATCCCGGCAATGATGGAGATGAGCATCAGAAACCTTCCTGCGGAGACGCGGAGACGGGCAGCTGGATACAGATCTCTGAGACTCGCCTTAATGGGCCTCGTGCTTCTGCCTCTCTACCACCATTGTTCTGCAAGATGGCTTGTCATAGTGGTAGCTCGGCCAAACAAAAGCAAGAAAAGCTTTTCTGGCTTTTAAAAAGAGAAAGCTCGGGCAGCTCGAGACTGAAAGTTGCTCTGCAATTTGGGAGTGGCTTTATGCAACTTTCCCCTTCTAACCAACCCAAGACACCGGTCCGTTTAAACTGTTCGGCTTCCCGGTCTCGGCGTAGGAGAAAGAAAGGACCTGAGATCACTTTGGAGACACTTGGCGAGTAGTAACACTGGGCCCCTTGGGCATGAGAGCAGCGCGTACCGTGCATAGGGGTACTTCAGAACGTACATGATCAAGAGGATCACGGCCTGAACTCCACTTTGGGAATGAGAAGTGAGGCAGGTTGAAGCGGGGCTGCCACGTCGCGCGCGAAGTTGGCGCCGCCTCAGGCCGGAGCTGTCAGCTCCAAGATGGCGCGCAGGCACCTCCAAGCAAAGTCGCGGCTCCCGCCTCCCAGGCACCAGAGCAGACAGCGCTTCTTTTTGTTGAAGAAGGGGCGCCTTTTTTGGGGGGGGCTGTCTTTTTTGTTGCTGTTCCTGTTTGCTCCCGCCTCCGAAGGAGGCCCAGCGCACGGAGTCCGGCTCGGCTTCCGAGGGCCTCGCTGCGAAGCGCTGAGCTCTGAGAGCCAAAAATGGAGAGGAGGAGAGTTCTCTGCGTCTCTTTTTCAGAGGGCAGAATAAGGCAAGCGGCTTCAAGGAGAGCTTGCGTTCTCCAAGGCGAAGACCACCTCGGTTCTCGGTTCTTCGAGGGCATGAGCCAGCATGTCAACTTATCTCAACGTTGACACAGCGAGAGCCCAAATTGCACATGCTAGCTTTTATGGCTCGCAGAAGGGTCCTGCTGCACACGGCCCTGCACTTGGAGGCTCGGGTGTTTCCGGTGCATGCTGAAACCGCCACTGACCACTTCGGGTCGACACAGGGTCGGAGTTAAGGGGACTCTTGGGTTTGCTCAGGGTCTTCGAGAACCCTCTCTGTGACTGGCTCAACCCGCATCCGCAGCTTGCAGAATACAGGCGAGTGGAGAAGATTGTATCGGTGAAACTTGAACGCCCGAAAGTCCACAGAGCCCTCTTTGGAGGCGAAGGCATACATACGCAAAGAAGCGGGGGGCCTTTAAGGTGACATAAACGATCAGAGGACTGACGAATCCGACAGGCACAGGGCCAAGGAGGCTCTCCTGCCGGCATGGCCCTGTCCTCTGACAAGCGGGCCGCGAAAACTCGGATATCTTGCACACTTGCACTTGCAGCCGCCGCAGCCGACCCACAGCCCTCAGGCAGAGAAGCGGTCAGGCGGCTCGCGTGACAAAGTCGCAAACCTGGGCGCCGGAGAAGGGCCGCAGAAGGCGTGTCAAGCTGTAGCCCAGCCCCCCTCCCCCCTCCCCCCTCCGCTCCAAAGGCCAAGCAGCGAGAAGCTGTCCTCCACCTCAGGTGATCGAGGTGAGGTGCGGGCGCTATTGGTGTGCGGGGAGAGAACTTTTGGCCAGGAAGCATGGCTCGTCCTCTCAATCAGAGTCGCCAAAGAATCGCTCCTCGGCTGGAGCTCAGGAGCTCTGTCACTGAGGCCTCCCGGGCGCCCCGCATTTTTCGAAGGCCGAGGTTCATTTGATGCTGCTGCTCTCCCAGAGCGTGAATCTGCTTCACCAAGGCATACCTCAGAACATGCGCTTCGGCCCTCGATGCCGAGCTCGCAGAGCTCGCAGAGCTCGCAGAGCTGCTAGGAACACAAAGAGAGATGAGAACAGATGAGTATGCGTAGGCAGTTAGGCATGCGTAGGTGGCACGCATGACTTTCACACTCACGGTGCGTCTTTGGTGCAAGTCTACCGACCTGGCTGGGCCGTGGAGTTGCATGCACCGCCTTAGCAAGCCGCTAAAGGAACAGGAAAGCGCGAAAAGGGGGGCGGCGAGAGCTCAAAAAGCTCAAAAGCTGCAGAGCAGCTCCGAGAATTCTTCCAAGCTGATGGTGTGATCTCCATCCACGTCCAGGCTATCGAAGAGGGTCCAGGCCTTGGTATTCGCCACCAGGGGGGTTCACGTGAGCATGGTGAGAGCAAATTCTCCGCCTCATAACTCGAGCTGCGAAGCGGTGGGAAGACGACCCCACACAACAGAAACGGTGGCCTACGGATCTAAAGATCAAGACAGGGGGGCATCCACGGCATTGATTTCGATGGTTTGGAAGAAAGCCTTCATCTCTTCATCCTCGAACATCTGCTCGAACTCGATGATGGTGATCTGTCCTTGCCCCGAAGCATCCATCCTCGACCATATCTTTGAGACCAGCTCCTTGAAGCGCTGCTTGTTCTGAAGCAAGGTCTCGTGATCCCTTTCACGAGTCTTGATGGCCGAGTTTACGAAGACTCCGGTCATGACATTTAACACAGCGAATCCGCAAAAAGCGATGTAGGTGTGAAAAAGTTGGACCCAGAACCAGCCAACTTGAATGAGCGAGTTCACTGCAATCTCCCAGTCCAAACCACCCAAAATCGCGCGGAAGAGCGTCTGGCAAGACAGGTACACCCCGCCGAAGTACTCCAAAAGCGTCGAGTCCTCACTGAGGTCGTGTCGGATCCCATAGTCCAAGGCAGCGTCTGCGAAGAGAATGCCGAAACTGTAGATCACCAACCCTAGAAGCAACAAGGCCCATGCGAGCTGCCGGGTCGTGTCAACCACCGACATGACCTCAAAGAGGGCAAATTCACACATTAGGGCACCAAGGGAGTTCTGAGATGTTTTCTTCTACCAAGCGGCAAGGGCACGCAAGGCTCCGAGGAACTTGATCAAGCGGACGGAACGGACCACCTTCAGCTCTCAGCTTCTGAACAGACTCTTCACTCACTGGATGACTGCGAGACTATGAATTGATCCTTCATGGAATCGTCTGACCTCGGCATGCGACAGATGTTCCCGATGTGATGAAGAGTGCCGTCCATAAGACCATAAGAAGTCTCTACGCAAGTGCAGGGTTCAGGTCTCGTCAGCTGAAAGGCGCTTCTGAGTTTTGTGTCTAGGCTTGTTAAGCTCTTAACCAAGAGGCTCTGTTTCTGGCAACTGCGGAGACACGGCAGTATACAGGCGTAGTGTCCATCCATACGAGAGATTCTTCGGAATGCGCGTCTCGAATTTCGGTGGCGCTAGGTATTGAGTAAAAGAAGTGTTGCACATCTAATGAGACCTGTGTCTGCTGGCTCGGTTTCAGCCGCCGGCATCTCCATGGCCGCTGGAGGGCTCTGCCATCTTCTCCGAAAAACGAACACTCGAAGGCAAGATCAACACATACGCAACGCGCAACGCGAGGAAAGCAACTCAAACCCACGTGCAAATGCAAAAAGGGGGCCTGACCGAAGATGATGATGATGGTGATGATGATGATGATGGTGATGATGGTGATGATGATGGCGATGATGATGACGATGACGATGACGATGACGATGGCGATGGCGATGGCGATGACGATGATGATGATGATGATGATGATGATGATGACAGCGGTAAGTCAAAAATACATGAACCATCAGGCAAACGTAGCGTTTCTCAAATGTGTTGTGACCGGCTGGTTGGGTAAGCTGTCTCCGTGCAAGTAGGGTCATAAGATGGCTCTGCTTGGATGTTGCTACAAACAGCCCACCTGCAGTAGCCTCGTCACCTTGAAGACTCGCACGATTCGGAGATTGCTTGAAGCTCCTCCGTCGCCCCCCTCACTTGGGGCACTCAGGTCCAGAGCTAGCTCCACCCAAGCGGGAAGGACCACAAAGACATCCAGCCAATTCCACGCCCAGCCAGGACCACAAAGGTACACGAGAGGTCCCGCAGCTGTAATGCGAATCATCATCTCTATCGTGAAGAGTATGGCATAGGCTACATGAACTATGATCCATATAGTTTGGTCTTGCCTCGGTTCGTAGAAAACGGAGGAATGTCTTATGAAAGCTTGCCCTTTACACACATGCCTCTATGAAAGTCATTCCATTCTGGAGCACGGCGCGAGTCCATTACTCGGCTGGCATTCCATTCCAGCTGAAACCCGAGGACGAGTGAGTTCGAGACGATGACCAGTGCAAAGAAGATGTTGAAAGGCAATGATGCGGCCAGCTGCTGTGCAGACCTTCGAAGGGGCCGCATGCGACTCTGCAGGCAGTCGTTGCCCATGTCATCACCCTCGCTGTCCATTTGCATCTGCTTCATCTCCTCAACGCGGTTGCCCTGCTCCTGGCCAGTCACAAGTCACGTTCTGCCGGCACCGGACCACATCTACCGGACTTCCCCGTCGACTCTCTACTGTAGGGGTTACGAAGGCGGCCAAGCAGCAGCTCAGGTTCGTCAGGATCACAGTGTCGCAACAGCAACCGAGCCGAAGCAAAATATGCACACCGTGAACAAGAAACTACTGCTGAGTCGCCCTTTTATTCGAAGGGTGAAGTCAAGCGCGGACGTGTCCTTCGCAAGCTCGTAACGACTCGTAGCACTTCGCTTCGCTTTGGCATTGGACTCAACCCTGGGGGCAATCGGCACCGGCACCGCCTGGGCCTAAGCCACGAGGTCTGCGACATGGACCTTACATGGCAGAGCGAGCTGAGCCTCTGACCTCCGCCGGCTTCTTCTCGCTAGGATTCTCCGGGATCTCAAAGAGATCCATGGAGGAGGTACTGTGACTGAGAGCTGCCCTCAGCTCTTTTCGGCTCTCTCCCCGCCAGCTCCTCAAAACTGCAGAAATGCCCAAGCTCAATCACAGGAACGCTTAGAATCTACAGATTTTCGGCGACGCAAAGCATCACACTCGATACCACCAGTTCGCTTTACCAGTCCGACGGGTAAGGACCGACACAAGTGACAAACCGGCAGCTTCAGGAAAACGAAGCGTCTAATGCAAAGCTCGGACAAGCAAACCTCTGATCCTGGGATTCCTAGCCAAAACAAGCTCTGGCCAGGAATTACGGCCAGGCGAGCTTGCTTGAGTCCTGGAACCCCAACAACGTTGGGTTCTCTGTCTCGCTCTCTCTCGCTCTCTCTCTCGTTGTTCCCCGCCTTGAGAGGGCGGCCTCCAGCTTGTCTAACCGGAGGAGGAGCTCACTGTGCTGAGCGTGGAGTACCTGCGAGACAGCATTTAAGCCCAACACGATACAATGAAGTCGCGACGATGATGATGCTATACGTGTGATGATGATCGTAGGGCGACTGTTGAGTACGTTGCCATTACTACTACTGCTTTACGCTGGCCATTCTGAACTGGAGGCGGTCGTAGCACCAAAGGAAGCACCTACTGCAGCAATAGACGTCGTCGTTGTGGTGCTTGTCGCTGTCGCTGTGACAGTCGCAGTAGCAGCAGCTGCAGCAGCAGTCGCAGGGGTGGAGAATTTGTGCTTAACTTTTTTCGGGGTGCCTCGTCCTCGGACTTCGGCGCCCTAAAGGCGTGTGTTGCCCCACGGTCCACCCATCCTTCCTTCCTGCCTTCCTTCCCGC